GTTTCTGTGTCTCCTCTCTCTGCCCCTGCCCTGCTCGCACTCTCTCAAAAAGTGAATAAACGTTAAAAGAAAATTAAAAGAAGGCGGATAGGTAACTTGCTTGGAGCCAGTCTATTCGGCAAGGCAGAGGAACTGGCACTCAGAACCCAGAGGCTGGGATGCTGGCATGTGGCCACCCTGCTGCCCTCTCTCCATCTCCTTGTTCTCTGGACACCCCTTCCTTTCTTTCATTCCTCACGAGGCCAAAGCCCACTGGTTGGCATACTTCCCGACTCCCGGTCTCAAGCCTTGTTTCCTCTCCCTAACTTGGTTCCCGTTCCTCAGTCTTGTGGATCTAGTGAGGATCCCAGGACTCAGTGGGGGCTGGAGCAAGCTCACGGACTCCTCTATTTCAGGACCACTGTTCACCTGCGAACCAGCGGAAAGTTACACAGTTCTACTTAACAGGGGATAGACTTCTTGGAACTTAAACAACTGACTATGCGGCATCCAAATGAGAGGAGCCATAAAGCCTGAGTCCACCACATGAATTTTTAATACTTCAAGTATCCAAGAGCTCTATAGCACACCAAAGTGCTCACCACTAGAAAGCACTACAGAAAGCTAGAATTGCCACAAACGAACTGCTGGCTCTTGGTAGTGAGACTTCCAAATCATGCTTCAGAGACAGAATGTGCTCGGTGCTTCCTTCGGTGTCGTTTATACATTTAGTCAGGAACATGGCTTCTTCTGCACTATGGTTATAACCCTGCTTTCAACTTTGTTAGTTGGGCGCATCCAGTCCCGTGAACAAGCATTCCCAACTATGTCTTTGCTATTTATGGGAAAGCCCAGAGTCCTGGACTGAAAGCTCTAGAATGTACTTGTCAAAGGTGAAATAAAATGCAGCCGGGAGGCCATTAAGGAGGTGGGCCTCAGGCACATCCTCACCAGGTGGGGCCGTGAACTGGGCTAAACTGCAGATACTCTCAAGGACTCTGCTGGGACCTGCAACTTGCTACAGTGACAAGCTTCGCCTTCCAGGGGACAGCCTTAACAACCCATTATGTTCTGCCAAGATTAGCTGTCTGCCGCCAACACCAATGAGAACTCTTCGTAGACAATATCTATTCGCTCAAAAAAATCCTCTGGTTTTTGCCCCCTAGTGGGACACTACTTGGGATGCTACCCAAATCGGTGTACCCCGAATTGCAATTCCTTGATCCCAAATAAACACCCCTGCTTACTACTGCCTCCTGACAATTTTAGGTTGATGCACTCTGAAACTCAGTGCTGTGCTGCTGGGTAACATCATGTGCGGGGACAACGTTCCATGGTTAAGCAGCCCCTGCAGCACACCACTAGAGTAGGGCATTGGCTGTTGGGTTTTGTTCCCCGGAGCAGCCAGTGCCTGACACGGCTTAAGTTGAAACATGACTGAATTACCACCTATGGGTGGGAAAGGGTTTGAGTTCCAAAGGCAAGGCCAAGGAGGAAACCGATTACATGGCCGAAAAGGAGGAGTGGACAAAGTACTGTTCTGGGAGAGGCTCCATTCACATGAGAAGTTAGACTCCGAACCTGGAGAAGTGAAGAGTTCATTCAGTCTCGGAAATAGGGAGCAGTCTGTAAATTGCACCAGAATAGAAATAACTCATGGGTAAAAAAGGTCTTACCTGGCTTATGCCTCCCGGAAGAGAGAAGAGCCCGGGTTCTGTGGCCACATCTGCAGGACTTCATACAGACTCCATGGCAAGGCTGACACCCGTGTTAAGAGCCACTGTTCTTGAAGTGATTTCACGGCTGGAAACTGCCAAGGTGATGTATCGGAGCGAAGGGAGGAGGCCGTGCAGGCCATTGTGCGCTGGAACACCAGAAGTAGGATGCGCTGCTTTCCTTCGGAGCCTGTGCGGCCTGGCCTGCTTTGCTTCCGTGGAAAAGAACTGCAGTCGAGATTCCTGAGGAGTGCGCTTCATGTATACACAAAACGATTACATTCCGAGGCTCTGACGTAAATGTTGGCTTTCACCAAACACAAATGTCTACATACAACGCTGGATCTGGTTAGCGGTAACGTGAGAGCTGCTCTGCAGACACGGCAGAATCTATTTTTAACACTTTGTTGACAAAACAGAACTCCCTTCGCTCCAGCCTCACAGAGAACTAGCCTTTTTTCTTGTAGGTAACATAACTTACCTGTTTAACCAAGGCCTGTGCTGGCATGCTACAAAGGCACCCCCCAAGGCCCCCAGTGCTGATTTGCACCATCCCCACACAAGGCGCTGTGTAGTTGTCTTATTCAGAAAAACAGAAGCTGTAATAACAGTCAGTGATGGAGCATACAAGACTTTGGGTAAACTTTGCTGTCTTATCTTCATTAGCTCAAATTAGAAGACAGTTACTATGAGAGTTTCAAAGTGCAGTCTCTCTGGAGGTGGAAGAACCTCAGACCAGTGAGGAAGGAAGGGGGACTGTGCTAGAACTTTGTCAACATGCCTTGCCTAATGCAAACAAGACTTCTTAGAAAACACCAGAAGTCAGAGCATCTGAGAAAACAGAAAAAATAAGAGGAAGACAGAAGTCTGTATGAGGCAGGGGAGGGGAGAAGATTGTAAGGAGAAATTGAAATAATGTGCTATAACTGTAGCTGCTCCCTGCCCCCCAAGAGTCCTGTTATTTCCAGAACCAGGGGAAATTCTAATGTGTCTTTTGTGGTTGATTTAAAACAAAGGGAATAGTTGCGGTTCCTGTGCCAAAGTTTTAAGGGCTTTGAGGACTAGCAGCTGGAATCCAAATTACTTTCAGGAGACCCGTGTGGGTACTTTTCCCCCTAAACCTGCACAGGAGCAAGGATGACAAAAAATTATATTGTCCGGATTTTAGGTTTTTCATGAAAACATAGTTAAATAAAGATAATCACTGCCAGGATACTACCTCTAACCATTACTAGCACTTAGTCACTTTGGAAGAGTTCCCCCACCCCCTGCCTTGTTTAATTAGCATCCTCGAGGGCTGAGGAAGGAGACAGCTGATGAGCAGCGAGCACATGAGTGTACCTTTGGTATTCACCAAATCCAGAGGCTGTTATGAGTGCTGTGGGCAACGGAAGCTTCAATTCTTTGACATCTCTAGGACTGAACCAGAGCCACGGGTGACCTTGTCTGGAGACAGGGTCTTCCCATCAGTCTTCTGGAACAGGCACAGCAGGTAGGAGGTGACGGGAGCTCTGTGTGGCACCAACAACCAAAAGTGAAGATGAGGTGACATAGGCTAGAAAGGAGTCATTTATTAAAAAAACAAAAACAAAAACAACAGAACACAAAAAACAAAACAGCCCTCAGCAGGATTTGAAGACACAACAGAAGAACGCACCATCCTGATGGCTTCCCGCCCTCACGCCCTGCGACGCGCACGGCCTACGAGCTCTGTCCACCGTGGCTTCTGGCAACGGGAAGCCCAGCACACCAGTTCATCACACAGGTTGAGGCAGAGGCACGTCACCTGCCAAAGGGAGAAATCAGGACACGTGGGCCCTTCTCCGACCTCTGCTGTCAGGTAGCCAGGATTCTCTCTGCCTGTACAGTGGGCAATTTCTTACCGGGCTGGGGCTGCTGAGACAAAGGCGAGCTGACACGATCACACTTAAATTACTACCAGAATGCCAGCTCTCCAGCAAAGACCACAGCACATGGTCAGATTCTAAGGGGACAGAGCAGCTCGCTCCTTCCACAACTCCTAGAATGTAGGGCCCAGCTCAGAGGGGCATTTGACATTTGTCCCCAACACCCAGTTGTCACCACAGGTAAACCAAGACCATAATCACAACAGCAAGGACAGGATCTCGTGTTGCTTTTTTCCTTTTTTTTTCTTAAAGGAGTGAGGGCATGGAAAATACAGCACACCAATGAAACAAAATGCCAAAAAAAAAAAAAATACAAAAAAAATAGAAAATAGAAAAATGTATTTACAAGTAGTACATTACTATGATCAGAAAGCACAAAGACACCTGCTGCTATATTACATGCATTGGTTCAAGAAGAAACTACTAAAAACCCTGCAAGGGAGAAGCCTGTAAAAACAAACAAAAAAAGGGCCAAAAAGTTTTAACTTTTCATCCCTAATTTGCTACACTGATCAAAACCAAATGAGAGCCCCCTCAAGTCCATGAGTATATCAGTACAAATACTATACTGGTTTTTAACTGCACGTTCAGTTGTGGAGGGAAAGACAGCAGCTTATCCATATACAAGAAAGCCAGAGTAAACTGCTCTACATGCTAAAAATTACAGCAAGTCCCTGTCTGCTACACAGCATGATCTTAGCAGGTTTTAATTTTTGTTTATTCATATATACCTATGTGCGCGTGTGTGTATGTATAAAAACCGTGCCCTCGTTCACTGCCAACACAACATCTGGGTGGACATGAACTCATTACAACAAATTCTTATGTTTATGTTGTAAGAAGTCACTCAATGTCTGTGGATTTAATAAGTCACTTCACACCACAGAAAATATTTAATAAATCCAAAAAAAGGAAAGAATAGAACGACAGAAGAGCTTCTGTCTCAGTTCTCTGAAACTGAGTCCCCCATAGGAAACTGGTCCCAAAGTTCTTGAGGGTTCACTGAAGAAACTTCGGTTTGCTAATATTTTTCATCCTTTTAGTGTTCAAAAGGTACAGAACGACTCCTTGCCGTTGTCAGTTTTAAACAGTCACATCTCCATCCCCCATGGGTAACAGTCTGGTGCAGATTCATAAAAACGGGGGAGGAAGGAGCGCTGGGGAGGGCCTGTCACTTCAGGAGGGGCTCCGCCTCTACAACGGCAGGAAGAGAAAGAACCAAGCAGGGCTCCAGCACCTCGCTCCTGCAAACAAGCTCCCTGCAAACGCAAAATCCAGTCACACGTCAGTTCCTTAAACAGGTACATCTCTGAGTACCAGGCCAGCTCTAAGAAGAAACAAAACCACGCGTTGACAGAAAAGGACTAAGATGGCCATTCTGGTCACTCTCTGGGATCCATCATACTTCCAGGAATCGGGAGCTGCTGGACTTGGAGTGGAATGGCTCAGACCACATCCGCCGAAGGTCACCCTGGGAAAGAAGGAACTTTACTAAGTTACAGGTTTAAACGTGAGCCACACACATCTACAAGTCCTTTTTGATCTCACACCACACTGCTTCTGCAGAGAATCAAAGAACATTTCAATTTCATGCACTGAAAGATAACCACCATTCTTTGAAGAACTCACTAGAAGAGCTCTTAGGCCCCTTACGCCAAGAAGGGTGTAAGTTCTCTCATTTCTCAGTGAGATTCTAAAGGCGAGTTAGTTTGCCTCTCTGCCTCCTCCTCTGTAAAATGGGGATAATGCAAATATTATAAGGTAATGCTCCAAGTCTAGCTGTAATCATACATTTCTTATTTCCAAACTTTAAGGCAGAGTACTAAAAAAGCTGTTAAGTGACAACAGGGCGCTGCTTTTAAGGGAAACAGGAAGTCTCTGCAGCTGAGCTCTAGGGATTTCAGTTAGTCCATCCATGACCAGGTGGCGTGAGTAGTCTAACTCACTAGCATTTTCTGCCAATGGCTGCAATAGTCTGGAAGAGGTTGCTAATACCAGGTTAGCAAAAACCCATCAACCCACTGTCAAGACCAAGAGCTCTGGGGCTTAAGGAGAACCACCTCTGGCAAGGAGAATATATGCCAAGTTATTGCTTTCATAGGTTTTTAACTGCTTCTCTCACCTTTAAATAGGCCATCGTGAGGAGTGGCAATAAGGTAAATGGCACCAAATAGAGAAGGGCAGGCTGGGCTGCTCGGTGAATGCGAGATGCCACAGTAGCGGTGAGCAGACCTATAAGGAGAGAAAAACACTCGTGAATAATGCCAAGGGGCCAGCCCCGAGAGAAAAGAACCTGTAATACGGCTGCTGCTTGCCAGGGTCTTCAGACTGGACAGCTCTACTGTGACACATTCTGTCCAATAGGTAGGTTATGAAATGCCCAGCCCTAGCAGTTAAAGAAGCATGGAACACTGGGGCGCCTGGGTGGCTCAGTCGGTTAAGCGGCCGACTTCGGCTCAGGTCGTGATCTCGCGGTCCGTGAGTTCGAGCCCCGCGTCGGGCTCTGTGCTGACAGCTCAGAGCCTGGAGCCTGTTTCAGATTCTGTGTCTCCCTCTCTCTCTGACCCTCCCCTGCTCATGCTCTGTCTCTGTCTCAAAAATAAATAAACGTTAAAAAAATTAAAAAAAAAAAAAAAAAAAGCATGGAACACTACAGCTTTAAAAATGCTAGCATCGCAAGGACGCGTGAGTGGCTCAAGTCCCTTTCTGTGCTCAGGTTCCTGGTTCAAGCCCTCACTTCCGCACTGAGCGTGCCTGGTCTTCCTCAGTCTTGTGTGGTATGTGATGCCAGACTCGGAGGCAAAAGACCTGGGTCCAAGTTCCAACTGTGCTACTTACAAAAGCTGTGTAACCCTGGCTACAGCACTTCACCTCTCTGAGCCTCAGCCTCCTCTACTGTTCAGTGGGCTAACACCACTTGCCATGCCTGTCTCTGAGTTTTTGTACTGAAATGAACCACTATGCTGTAGCCATTGTAGGTGCAGACAGGCTACCGCTATTCCTAGCCCAATCACACAGGTCTCTTACTGTTGGTCCGTAAGTGAGCTGCCTAGAGAAAAACTAGCCTAGTGAGAGTCTGAGATTAGAGGTGATAAACATATTAGAACAAATGAAGGGAAATACCTGTTTAAAAAAATGGGAAATTAAGCAAGACATGGATTAACTTCAAGCTGAAGATTTAAATAGGCACACAGACTGATCCATGATCACTGTGTGGTAGAGCTGACCATATTCTTCTTCCAATGTTCTTCAGAGATTACTGCTGGATCGGGAACGGGCTGACCAGTAAGGACAGCACCTGTCATCTCACAGGCCACTGTTACTTGTCCTTCGTGGTTGTCTGTAATAGCAACCAGTTACTGCACTCCTTCCATCCAGCGTCTGCAGCTAGAAGACCTGATTTAACTCCACGGGTTGGAGGACAGTTAGTGGATCACGTGCCTCTCCCACTGTCTTACCTACAAAGTATCCAATGAGGGTGCAGTGAAAGTAGGAGACCTTCTGCATGCGTCCAGAGATATTGGCGGGTCCAGAGGCACCGCAGGAGTCACCGTTGGCTTGTTTTTTGTAGTTGTCGTAACGAAGGACAAAGCACAACAGGAGTCCAGGCATCACGATGTCCCCAATGCCCAACATAGAGAAGTGACTGCCGGTGGAGCTGAAATGCAGTGGCACAGGTCAGGGATGCCACCCTCAACAATCCCATTTCTCCTCCTGTGCAGAGTCATTTCTCAGCTTTTTTTAAGAAGTTGGACTTACCTGAATGGGAGGCAATCTCTAGCGGTGGAACAGCACTAGTTTGTAAGAGTTTAGAGATTACAAGCCAGAAGAGTACTGACGATGAATGTCTTTAACCAGGCTCCCTCACTGCTTTAAGAGAGCACCTCTAAAGTGACTGCTAAAGTCGTCTGTTTAAGTACTGTCTCCTCTAGAAATGTCAAGCAATTCAGTATTTGTCACACATTCACTGCTGTGACTTCAAACAAGCACCTGACTACTACCAGACACGGATATTAAAGCAACACAATTTTTTCCAAGATTATATTACCAGCCACTGTATAATTTTAGCATTAGGACATATTTTTACAAACATCTTAGAAGAAAAAAGGATCCAGATTCTCCTGTGAATTCCCTTCAGCCAACTCCAAAATATGGTAACAGTAGTAACATATGGTTATTTGAGAACATTAATCAATAATAAAAAGTAGCACCTGTATCATTTAGTGACAAATCTTTGCAAGTCAAATCAATATTCTCTTTCTCATTTGTGTAATGGACAGATGACTCACAGCCCTTTTCCAGTCTAGGATAAGAATGCTGGTGACAGAGACCAATCAAGGAGCACAGAGGCACAGGGAGAAGACAGTGTATTAATCATCACAAGACGAGGCCCTGTAACATGCTAGTCCTACCTGGGAAAGACCAGTTTTCCAGGCAGAGACAGGCGAGGAACATCACGCCCAACATTGGGCCCCAGGTGGAGCTTCCGGGATAGAACGTCAAGGGGATTGTCAGCCGGTTGTGTGGCCACCTTCACCATGACATTGCTATTGAAGATGTAGGCGGAGAAAAACACCTGCCGAATGGAGAGACGTCTTCAACAGAGGGAGCTAGAAGCAACCTGATGTCAGCATCAGCCCTCCTCGTTCTTAAGAGCAAAGTCTCAGAATATTACATCATCAAGCTTTTTTGACTGCATGTTTTGGAGGTGAAAGAAAATCTTTGCTCCCAGGGCACAGAACTTTGCCTGCCTGCTCTCCCCCCACCCCAAGAGACACACACGTACTCCAATTAAACACAAAAGAGAACAGTGGCTTCAGGGAAACAGACACTTACCCAAAAGACATCATAGATTAGAAGCCCTGAGAGAAGCAGGCAGGAGACCTTGAGGCTGGGCAGGCGGACAAAGGCGATCATGGCGACACAGAGACCCATGGCCAGGGCTGGGGAGGAGGCCACAGACATTGGTCAGTGTGGAGTAGACTCATCCTCTTTCCACAAGCGATTCTGCTTATAAACCTAACAGTCTCTAAGTCCCCTCAAAAGTCAAGCAGCCCAGTTTAAGCTCCAAGTTAAGACATTTACACCCTACTTGTGCAAAGTGCCCACTTTAGCCCATTCTGACGGGCTGGTTTTCGGGGACATCCCTTTTCCCATGCTCTTGGATAGTGCTCAACTGTGTAAGACCCAGGAGATTGTTTTGAATGATAAAGCTCTGGGGTGCCTGGATGGTTCAGTCAGTCAAGCTTCTAATTCTTTTTTAAAAATTTTTTTAAATGTTTACTTATTTTTGAGAGAGGGAGAGACAGAGCGCATGAGCAGGGGAGGGGCAGAGAGAAAGGGAGACACAGAGCTGAAGCAGGCTCCAGGCTCTGAGCTGTCAACACAGAGCCCGATGCGGGGCTCGAACTCACGAACTGTGAGATCATGACCTGGGCCAAAGTCGGTCGCCCAACCGACTAAGCCACCCAGGCACCCCGAGTGTCCAACTCTTAATTTCAGCTCAGGTCATGAGCCAAGGGTTGTAGGATATTGCCCCGTGTCGATCTCAGTGCTGAGCATGGAGCCTGCTTAAGATTCCCTCCCTCTGCCACTCACCCACGTGCATGAGCTCTCTTTAAAAAAAAATTTTTTTTTGCATGATAAAGCTCTAAGCCAGGCCTGGTTTAGGACTTCTTAGCTCTGTTTCCTGTCTCCCCCACCCCTGAGGATACTTCCTCCTTGCTCCTGACTTTAGCATCTGCCCATACCCAAGATTAAGCCCCCTTTTATTTACTCAGCAATTCATTCTTCTATACTGTCATGACCTGGGGCGAAGTCAGTCGCTGAACTGACTAAGCCACCCAGGTGCCCCTATCCTCATTCTTAGGTCAGAAAACTCTTTTTCAGGGAGTCTTTCCTGATCTATCAGATTAAGTAGGGTTTTTTTTTTTTTTTTTTGACACCACAGAACTCTGAAATCTCTCTCAACTTGCTCACCCATTCTGTAACAGTGTGATTATTTATATACAAGCAAATTTATTGCTTAAATTTGGTACTCCTGGTTGACCAAAACCATGGCTTATTCTTTCTGTGAAGCCCCAGCACTTACCAGAGTAGATGTTCAATAAATATTTTCAGAATGAATGAAAAATTATGTTCCATCTACTTTAAATTTAAAATTACTCCAAGGAAAGTTAGAAAAGTGAGGCCAGATTACAGATGTATATCATTTTAATAGAATTGGTGGTAAACTGTCAGGACATGTAGCTAAGTGGGCAAATAGAGCAGTCTGGCAGACCCTGGACATGTCAAATCAACTCATGTTTGGGGAGTTCCTACCATGGGAATGGTGTTGCACAAACAAAAGAGGAGAAAAACCATTCCTAACCTTGGAAGACAGGGCTAACACTGGGAAAAAGAACAAACTATCTTGATTCTTCCTCTGTCATACCGTTACCAAGCACTCGGTGATCTCCACGCTGTGTACTGCAGTATGCATTTTGGAGAGATGTGGTTGAACATAATTTCTGATTTTACGATAATCTAGGATGTGCTTGTTTTACTAGGGTCTCCTTTATTTTTTTATAAATTTCTAAGAACAGAACCAAGGCCCATGATATAATCAACCCATATGCATTTTTTTAAAACAGGGTTTCCCATTATAATGATCTCCAGAAACAAATAGTTGGCTGTGCTGTGAATCGATAAACAGGGCACTGGCAGGGATAAGCTCAGCTGGCCTGAGGAACAACAGTGGTCAGTGGAGGGTGGGAAGCCCCTGGGGCAGAGGAAGGGGTGAGGGCAGTAGGGTAGCAAGTGATCTGTTCAGGAACTTACAAGTGCAAACATGGGGTGCAAAGTGCACCAAGGGAACAAAGGAAGAGATGAAAGCCTAATGGACAGACCAGGGACAAGTGTGTGGCAGTAAAGGTCAGAGGGCTGACTGATGATAACCAAAGGGGCAGGTTCCCAAGGTTAAATGTATATGCCTCTGTGACACATGCAGGTGACTGGTCCGTTCCAGAATTTTTCAATTTACCATACAGTCCCTTAACCCTAAACTGGGAGAAGCCTTTACAGGCCACAGGGTCTAAGCATCCACTCATTGCTTTGTCACTCCTCTTATGCTGATCCTACCCCACCTGAGTCACAACCAAACACGGACAAGACAGAACTGCTCAGGGACATTGTCATTCTATCCCTATCTTCCATACAAGAAACTCTAGATTCGTTTTCAATTTATCAGTGTTTCATCACGTGCACTCCATCCACGGCCATTCTGTGTACCACCCTTTGTTGTTACAGCACACCTCGGTCACACTTCCCTAGTTTGACGTGCGTCCTTCTTCACTTTCTCTCTTTCCCACTTACTCTTCACTGCCACTGTAAACAATTCACTTTGCATCATTTCCTGCCTTACAGTCACTAGGCTCCCTACTCTGATGGATCACGTCTAATTATAAGTCCCACAGCATTGGGCACAACTCACGGGATGGCGTGTCCCCAGAGTCTGTCTTCCTTTGTTCCTATTCCTCCCCAGTTAAGCTGAGCAATACCCTCTTCCCAGTCATGCCAACCAAGCGTCGCCAGCTGTGCTGTGAGTTCCACATTTGAAGCAGAATGCGTCCCTTCTGACTGTTTCAGATAACGAGTATCACTGCTACCCCCAGAAGAACACTGCCACAATCTGTCACATCACAGGAACATGCCCTCAAGTATTCTAGTTTGCCTCTCTTTTTCTCCATTCTTTCATTCAAGTAACTCTTCATAATCTTACCTCCTCCTTAGCACTTTTCCAAGCCAAAATTAAGAGAAGTGATAACTTTCCCTCATTCCATGCTGCTTGAGAGACTCAAGACTCTCCCAAATGGCTTTACCAACCATCTTCACTTTGGGTTAATTTACATTTAAAATTAACCAAAAACGTTGAGTAGTAAATTATTAATCTTAGCCACTTGTCTAGAATTACTTTCAACTTAGTATCGATAGAATCTTTGCGTCGCTTTGTCTTCCACAACCAGCAGGGTCAGGGACAAAGACAATGACACCAAACCAAGCCAAAATGTTCTTGAAAAGCAACATGCAACCTGTAAATTCTTAAGCAGTGCTCAGTTCTAAGATAAAGTATCTGTAGATAGCTAAGCCCTATGTGGACTAAGTACCAGCGTCTAGCATTTTAAAACAAGAAAACAAATCAATTGCTAGATTTTTGGCACTGAACATTTTCTAATCACAGATTAGTAGCAAGTGTATTAGATGAGGGGGCTGAACTAGACATCTGTTCAAGACTCTTCTAGTCCCTGAGCTGGTCAGTGGATCCACACTGTGAACCTGGTTTAACGATCCCTGAACAGTAAATGTGTGTGCACAAGATTCATCAGCTTTTAGCTAATGCATGATACCACCTATTGGTCAAATTCTCTCAAGATTTCCCAAATTTAAAAGGTTAATTTGCCAGATGAAACTGAAAGTAGATAAAACTCTAGATTTAGTCCAAGAACACACTGAAACGTCTTCTTACTATTAACACTTCTTAGTATACAAAATCCTGAAAACACACTTCATGCCAGGGCACCTGGGTGGCTCAGTCGGTTGAGCGTCTGACTTTGGCTCAGGTCATGGGTTCAAACCCCGCATCGGGCTCTGTGCTGACAGCTCAGAGCCTGGAGCCTGTTTCAGATTCTGTGTCTCCTTCTCTCTTTGCCCCTCCCCCAGCTCACACTCTTGTCTCTTTCTCTCTCAAAAATAAACATTAAAAAAAATTTTTTTAAAAACCATACTTCATGCCTTGCCCTAAAACAACCACATTTATAACTGTCTTCACTTTAAATTAACTTCAAAGAACAGGATTTAACTGAGAAACATTCATTCAAAAAAATTCTACTACCAAATTATCACTGCCTACAAGATGATTTCTGATTGTGCAGAGAAGTCTGTAAAGATAATTTCCATGTCAGAGAAGAACCTATTTCAAAACATTAAAGACCATGGCTAGAAAGCTACATTTTCTGTAACAGCAGAAAACAAACATCAAACACTAGAATCTGAGAAACAGTAACTGTAAGAAAAGCTCAGGGGCGCCTGCGTGGCTAAGTCGGTTGAGCATCCAACTCTTGGTTTCGGTTCAGGTCGTGATCTCACGGTTCGTGGGTTCGAGGCCCGTGGGCTTGGGATTCTCTCTCTCCCAGTCTCTCTGCTCTCACTCGCAGGGGTGAGCACGCGCACCTTCTCTCTCTCTCTCAAAAATATATAAACTGGGGGCGCCTGGGTGGCTCAGTTGGTTAGGCGGTTGATTCTTGATTTTGGCCCCAGTCATAATTTCATGGTTGGTGAGTTTTTTGTCCCTGTGTCGGGCTCTGTTATCAGTGCAGAGCCCACTTCATATCCTGTTTCTCTCTCTCTCTCTCTGCCCCACCCCCGCTCTCTAAAAAATAAATATTAAAATCTATCATCAAAATAAATTTTAAAAAAGCTCAAAAGTTCTTTTTTTGGGGGTGGGGAAAATTCTACTCTTGGTCACGGGAAGTTCAACCAGTGCAAACTGGCAGGGAAAAGAGACTCCTGGGTAAGTAAATATTGGGGAATATCAATAATGACAAAAGGTGATGGAAACATCTACATGTTAGGGTTGATTAGGGTTTGGGGAACCTCACTGGACACTCAGAATTTTAGCTATCAGGTAAATTTCATGATGGAAATGTATTTCTGATGGGTCACTGGGAAAATAAAGGTGCCTCTTATGGGCAGCTTTCTATAGGCTCCACAGTCTAGAGGAAATGTTGCAGTGAAACGTACTCTGCAGCTATCTTACAGACAACTGCTTACCCCAATCTGCTGTCAGCGAGTCTAGTAAGCCTGGCCCCGGCCCCTGCCCCTGCCTGTAAAGGTACAATGAAGAAAATTCTGCTGACTTGTTCTCAAGTATGTGTTTCAGATGGCTGTGTAAATCAGTGTATCTTGAAAAGAATGTCACCTTCTATCATGCCAACTTTTTCTTTTTTAGTGACATACTACTACAAAATAGGTATTTTTCTCTTCTCTGCAATGCCTGAGAAGAGTAGACAAGAGAGTATAAAGAACATTGCTTGCTGTTTTGAGAGGTATCCCTTTTTGGGTCAGCAGCTTGGTAAATTTAAAACCCTTAGCAAAACCTATAAATAGTATCATGTGTGTCTGGACACACGAATAAAGGGCTCCACGAAAGCAGAGTCACCAAAAGTTAGTGGGATTACAGAGAACCTCAGACCACAGAGGGGGCTGACAGACTTCAGGTAATTTTTTTTAATGTTTATTTTTGAGAGAGAGAGAGAGAGAGAGAGCGAGCAAGCGAACGAGCATAAACAGGGGAGGGGCAGACAGAGAGGGAGACACAGAATCTGAAGCAGGCTCCAGGCTCTGTCAGCACAGAGCCCGACGTGGGGATCGAACCCATGGATTGGACCATGAGATCACGACCTGCTGAGATCATGACCTGCTGAAGTCTGACGCTTAACCGACTGAGTCACCCAGCTGCCCCAAGACTTCAAGGTAATTTACACACCATTTGTCATCAGAAGGACTTTGGGTTTGCCAGTGTTGAGATGAATCAATGTGGTGATGATTCAGGTGATGACTGCCCTATATTACTCTAGTTAAAGCAGTGGCACCTGAAGCTTTTATCATCTCATTTCACATAATATTTGTACAGGGAGAATCATTATGCTTGCGGTATTCTTATGGATTGGTGTTTACAGAAGTGGACTCTTTCATTTAAGGACATTAGCATAAAACAGTTTCTCTTCAGAATATATAGCTAAAAGTCATTTTATATGGACTGAAATAATCTGGTTTAGGTATTAACCAGCAAACGAGCATTTCTAAATAGTTTTTGTTCAAAAGTAGTAGAGGAGAAATGTCTGTGCTGCCTGCTTTCTCATCAGGAAGCACTGGTTTAGGTGAGGCTGAAGGATATAATCATAAAAGCAGCTATGAGATTGATGTGGACTAATACTTACTATCTCTACTCCAGTCATTATCATGATTAAGACTCCCTAATTTTCTGTAACAGATTTAAAAAGAGATTAGGCTCTATGAAAGTCTTTCAAAATCACCTACATGCTTTTCAGGTTAACAAGTCATTCTTCTGCAGAAATCAAGACTTAGGGGCGCCTGGGTGGCGCAGTCGGTTAAGCGTCCGACTTCAGCCAGGTCACGATCTCGCGGTCCGTGAGTTCGAGCCCCGCGTCGGGCTCTGGGCTGATGGCTCAGAGCCTGGAGCCTGTTTCCGATTCTGTGTCTCCCTCTCTCTCTGCCCCTCCCCCGTTCATGCTCTGTCTCTCTCTGTCCCAAAAATAAATAAACGTTGAAAAAAAAAAAATTAAAAAAAAAAAAAAAAAAAAAAAAGAAATCAAGACTTAATCTCAGGAAAAGTCAAACACACACACTTGCTACTTCATCAATACTCTTAATACCTAGTATATAAAGATAGGCATTTACTCTTCTACAATAAGCCGGGCAAGGAATTTATGTGATTTCAGATGTAACTTCTTTTTCTGAACTTATTCTTTATCAACCTCCACAAGCACTGAAGTATCAAACACCAATCCATAAGAATACTGCAAGCACTGATACTAGATTTGGGAAATTTAATAGTTCTGGTAACTACTTAAAAATCCTAAACACTGGGGCGCCTGGGTGGCTCAGTCGGCTGAGCGGTCCAATTCTTGATTTTGGCTCAGATCATGATCTCACGGTTGGTCCTGAGATAGAACACACACATGGAACCTGTTTAAGATTCTCCCTCTCCTTCTCTCTCTCTCAAAAACAAACAAACAAACAAACAAACAAACAAACAACCTAAACACTGCACTTCAGGATGCTTATATACATTCCAAAGTAAATGATCACAGAAATGTTTTTTTATAAGGCAATTTAAGATGCTAAACCAGTCAGAAATCATCAAATATGAATTATCACATGGTCAGGCAGATTTTGACACTGTTTTCCATTCTGACTCATTAAAGGCCTCTAAATAAATCTAAGGGGTAATGTGGTCTGCAACCTCATGGAACTTTTTTTTAAAGTTCATTTATTTATTTTGAGAGAGAGAGCATGTGCAAGCAGGAGTGGGGGGAGGAGGGGGAGAGGGGAGAGGGGAGTCAGTTTCAAGCAGGCTCTGCACTGTGAGCGCAGAGCCAGATGCAGGGCTCGTTCCACAAACCATGAGATCATGACCTGAGCTGAAATCAAGAGTCAGGTGTTTAACCAACTGAGCCATCCAGGTGCTCCAGGAACTACTTTTGAGTCTCAAGAGCTTGGTATATGGTAGGCACTCAATAAAAGTGATGAACAACAACTATGACAACAATTATATACAAACAAATTATGTATTTATAAAGTTATACATATTTTATATAATATTTAAGTATTAAATATTTTATGAATATGTGTAACGTTTGAAGATTACTGAACAGTAATATTGATAGTTTTTATTTAGAGGTAATTCAGTGAATTTTAACACAGGCGTACACTTATATAGCCACCACCACCCTCAGTGTGTAGAATACTTGTATCACCCCAATAAAATCCTTGAGCTATAGTCACACCCTCTCCCCCACACAACCACTTGTCTGTTCTCCATCACCATAATTTTGTCTTATTGTTTTTAAAAATATTTTTTGCTGAAGAAGTATACTGGATATCTCTGTATGATTTACAGTTTAGTATATGTGCTGCCGAAGCGAGCACTGTATGATTTACAATTTAAAAAGCGCTTTCTCTATAATTATCACCTATGATTAAAATCACATGTGCCATTTACCTATAGCTTTACAGAGCTCTCAATCCACTCTATAGCTTGTTTCCTTACAATACTCAGTTTCTTAGAGTTTTTCACTAGTTAACTTGGCACACATAAATTTCAAATTCTTGAACTGGTACAAGACAAAAAAAAAAAAAAAACCCTTGAAACAAAAGAATAAGATTTTAATTTTCCTCAAGGTTTAAAATTTCCTCCTTATCAAGATTATATTACTAATTCTGGATCACACATGCACACAAAGTTTAAAATCCTTTTTGTCAAGTTCTATCTGATTTGACCATGAGCAGAATATTGCGATACAAGTGTCAGCTACTCCTGAACTTGAGGCATGGACAGTGAGCATCACTCTCGCTGGCTCTGTGCTCAGGTAACACTGAATGACAGTTCCACAGTTAAGCCATCCTCAGAGCTGCAGGGCCTTAGTGGAGAGGAGCCTCTCAGACCTGGCAGTTGCTTCCAAAGAGCTCTGTTTCCAAGGTCTTGATTAGCCTTGTAGTTGCTTGGAATGGATAATGGGAGTAAGTGCAATCCATACCCATAATCTCTGATTTTTAAATTCCTCCTTTAAAAATTCTTTAGATAGTACTACAAACAGTATAAAATCATCTTTTGTATTTTAACTTCCTTCCCTTCTGAAACACCAGAGGAAAGGAGAAAGTGAACAGACTTTGTGGGGCAGAGCAATGGTTAAAGTTTCTTGAGATCAGGAAAATGAACTGTGAGAACAGGAGTCAGGACTGAATGAGCAAGGAGATGGAGGTGCTTACATGGCCTTTAAGAAAAATGAGAAACGTCTTAGGGGAGAGAAAAGAGTAAGGGGGGATTTTTGGAAATGTCCTTCCAAGATATTTTGAGAACTATCAAGTATACACAGGAGTTCTGTGACTGGGTAAGTGACTTCTCTGAACTTCGTTTCCTTGTCTGTAAAATGGAACAATAACAGTACCTACTTCAAAGACTTTCCAGGATTAAATGAGATAATCCACACAAACACCCAGGAAAGCACCCAATGCGTAAGAAGCACTCAATAAATGTTAGCTGAATAATACTGCCATTATTATTTCATCATTATCATCACCAATGAAGGGAAATCCTCACATGCTATGGACAGGAGTATAAACTGCCACAGCCTTTCTGAAAGGCAGTATAATAACAGATAAAAAAACTTTTTACTACAAAAACCCTTTAATCTAGGAATTTAATATCTAGGAACTCATCCATAGAAAAATAATCTTATTAAGTAACCTGACATGTGTACCATGAGGTGGAACAAGAGTGTTTACCTCAGGATTATTTATAAGAGAAGATTAAAATCAATCTAAGGGCCCAGCAATAAACAACATACAACGGAATACTCTGGAATTATTAAAAAGGATAGGATACATCTTTATGTAATGATACAGACATGTATTTGTATCATTACATAAAAGAGTCTATTGTATATAATACATATATGGCATATATTCCACATATGTATTTTATATTACAGTATTCCATTTATGTAAGAAAATATATAGTCTATAGACAAAAAACTACATATGAATGTTCATACTAGTATTACTCATAATAGCTAAAAAAGTGGAAACTGATGAATAGATAAATAAAATTGGCATATCTATACAACTGAACAGTGTTTGGCCATAAAAAGAAATGAAATACTGATTTAGGTTACAACATGAATAAGAACCTTGGAAACATCATGCTAAGTGAAAGAAGGCAGACACATAGGTCATATAATGTTATGATTTTACTCTCTGAATATACTAAAAGCCACTTCAAGTAGGTAAAAATGTGGACTATACCTCAAAAAGCTGTATTATTAAAAATATCTTGAGAATGTGGGTAAAAATAATAACTCAACAATATGTAACACCACCACCTTTGGACACCTAATACTCATGGTAATCAGAGGAAATATTACTAAAACACAAAAAGCAGAGGAAGGGAGGACAAATTTAATTATAAACTGTATTAACACTTCAACTTGTCACATGTTACTCACCATCCATGAGAAGCCAATGGCCAGTGAGAACCCAGATAAGGACGAGCATGACAGACAGAGAGAATGACAGTAATTCAGCAGCAGTAAAACGCCCACAGCAACCGAAGGAAATCCTGGAAAACACATGGTATTTATTGGACTAACAGCTGATACGTTATATTCAATAATCGAACTCTCCCTTGGTTCTTCACGATCAGAGTTCATCAGGGCCAGATTAGAATAGCAGGCAATACCTAGACTCCCAGAAATTGAAAACACCCAGACCTCTTTGGAGTAGGCTACAGGAAATGCAAAGGCATTAATGATCCTTCTGCAGCCCTCTGATATTGTAGTTTTTATCCCAAATTATCAACATGGATGTTTACAATTTAAAGTGACAATACCAACCTTAGGAGAATGAAGTACACTATAGGGTAATTCTGTTTTTATGAGGAAAGCAAAATGAAGAAGGTCAATAGTTCAATCCACTGGGTGATGATGAATACATATTTATAAAATGGTAACAACTCTATCTGGTTATCACGAATTCCTGGGAAAATCAGCTGCTCCTAGTGACTGGTTTCCTTACGTTCATATGGGATCTCTATTACACAGCACTTGGTGTCCATGTAGCAATGGCTTTAGGAGTTGAGGTGTGAAAGGTGTGCACACTGGGTTTAAACCCATGTGGTTAGTATATATTCTTGGTCACCAAAGACAAAAGGCAAAGAATGTCTGAGTTGATCACATCCCATTAACTCACTAGTCAAGAGACAAAAGCATTGCTTCAAAATGAAACTGCTCATCTTTCAATAATCTAAGCAGGAAGCATGTTTCAACGACTCCGACTTCCTAAGATTTGTGTATATTTCCTCTCCTATGAAAAGGTGCAAAAGGAAGTACTACCTTCCAGTCTTAAAGATCAAACGTCTCCCTTCCCAGTCTTCTAGCATTTGTGTGCTCTGGTCCATACCAGAAATTTAGACTCCTAACAATGTTATCAAGTGCGACATAAAAACATTTAAAATTTAGAGAAAAATCCCAAGTCCTTACTTGTTCTGAGGTGAACAGGGTCTTGTTAAATACTGGCACATCGGGAGAAGGAGGAAAGCAAAAGCTATTGTGGCAAGAACTAGAGAAAGAAAATATATGGTTAAGTTTTGTTCTTTATTTTCAACACCTATAAGAAAAATGGCAGGACTTATGGAAACACTGACCAGAATACTCTTCTCAATAAGTAGATACAATTAATTAACCACAGAAGAAAAATATCTTCCTTTAGCACTGTACAAATAAAGTCTTGAAAAACAAAAAGTACCTGATTTGAAGGAATGGGAAGCATAGACAGGTTTTCTCATTCTTTTCTATCTTAACACGGAAAGATAAATAGCGAGCCAGGGGATGATCTAACATGTCTGGCATTTTGTTGATGTTCTATACATTTCCATCATCTCTTGACTTGAAAACTGATCAGAGGGTTCACAGTCAAATTACTCTGATTAGTTACCAATGTGTCTGTCTACAGAAACATTGGTGGGGGTTGCCAATGACCGCTTCGCCACACTGGACCTTCTGGACACTTTGACTCCAGACAAGGAGTCAAAGTGGTCCTGTTCTGGTGTCATAAAGCTCACAAGTTTTCAAACCCCTGGCCTTTTGTTCAGACTGTGCTGACAGTCCTGAACTGATGATATGGGTATCCAATGGTTCAAGGAGAAGATGGGGAAGAAAAGCCAGACTTATGGAAAAAAACTTGCATGGCAGGTTGTATAGGTCTTAAGTTTTGAATGATGATTAAAAAGAAGTACACAGAAGATCCTGGGTTCGAGTCTCAGTGGAACCTTGGTTCCAGGAAACTTACCTTGGTTTCCTTTCAAAAGAAAAAAAAAAGACGTGAGAGGTGCCTGGGTGGCTCAGTTGGTTAAATGTCCAACTTGGCTCAGGTCATGATCTCACAATTCTTGAGTTCGAGCCATGTGTTGGGCTCTGTGCTGACAGCTCAGCGCCTGGAGCCTGTTTCGGGCTCTGTGTCTCCCCCTCTCTTTGCCCCTCCCCAACTTGCACTCTGCCTCTTTCTCAAAAATAAATAAACTTAAAAAAAAAAAAAAAGAAGTGAAAAAATTTCCTTTTAGGTTAATGTTCAAGAATAGAGAAACATGGGACACCCAGGTGGCTCAGCTGATTAAGCATATGACTCTTGATTTCAGCTCAGGTCATGATCTCACGGTTTGTGAGATTGAGCCCCAAGTTGTTGGGCTCTGCACTGATACGGTAGAAAACCTGCTTGGGATTCTCCTCTCCCTCTCTCTCACTGGTGTGTGCATGCTCTCTCTCTCAAAAATAAATAAACTTAAAAGAAAAAAGAACAGAGAAACTTATTTACCTGCTGTACATATTGTAAAAACTACTTGAACGGAGTCAAAGAAGAAGAACATTACTAGGAGAGAGACAGATGCTCCAATTGGAAGGAATAGGGCCTGGGTAGAGTCAATAGTTTGGATACCTGAAAGAGAATAAGGGACATATTAATGACTTATATGATAAGTACTGTGCCCATGTACTCCAGAGACATTAACCCATTAAAATGCAGACAGTCTATGGAGCGCCAGGCTGGCTCAGTTGGTTAAGCTTCTGACTCTTGATTTCAGCTCAGGTCATGATCTCACAGTTGGTGAGATCGAGCCCAAGTGGGGCTCTGTGCTGACAGTGCCAAGTCTGCTTGGGATTCTCCCTCTCTCAAAATAAATAAATAAACTAAAAAAAAAAAAAAAAAAAAAGTACAGACAGTTCTAGGAGTTAGTATATAAGATATAGATTATCTAGGACCTCTGATTCTTTCCTTCCCACTGAAATTATGAGGTCCTTGCTCTCCTCATGGTGCATTCGTTATAGCAGGTACTCAAATACTTGTTGAACTGAACTACTACCTCCTGGTGCTAACAATCTGGTTGACAGGCTGAAGGAAGGAAGAAATAGGAAGAAGAGGGGGAGGGAGATGGGGGGGGTAGAAAGACGAAAGGAGGGAAAACAAAAACTAAGAACATCAACAGGTAGTAAAAAGATTAGTCAATCTGAGTATATCTGTAATCTCATGTACAGGTTTGGTAAAAGGTAGTTTAAAGCCACTGACTGAAATCCTTTCTCATTATCTACAGATTTACTCATGTTCACTCTTCCCCACTGTTGCTGAGAACTGACTCTCAGTGGAGCATAAGAGTGGAGGGAACAAGACATCTGAAAATCAAAAATCAGAAAGATTATTCTGTGGGAACATCGTAAGGACCAAACAGGAGATCAATGGGGGAAAATAATTACTTGGGATATAGGATTCTTGGTTAATCATTAGAATCATCTGGAGAGCTTTAAAAATTACATGCCCAGGCACAACCCCAGAACAATTAAACTGAAATTTCTGGGTGTTATTAGGCCCAGCTGAAAACTCTCCACAAAATTTTATTTTGCATATAGAGTTGAGGAACACTAAGTATTTGGTAGAGAAGAGAAACACGGCACAATCTGGTAACTACTGAATGAAAAGAAAAAAAATTACTAATCTTGTGTGCTACTTCCAAATTAACACTGCTAAGATATAGAGTTCTTGAGTGGAGTAAAAAAAAAAAAAAAAAATGTTCATATGAGCTATTATAAAGAAATACTAGGGACGCCTAGGTGGCTCAGTTGGTTAAGTGTCCGACTTCTGCTCAGGTCATGATCTCATGGTTCGTGAGTCTGAGCCCCACGTCAGGCTCTGTGCTGACAGCTCAGTGCTCAGAGTCTGTTTCAGATTCTGTGTGTCCCTCCCCCCACCTCTCTCTGCCCCTTCCCAGATTGCGCATCTGTCTCTCTCAAGAATAAACATTAAAAAAAAAAAAATTATAAGTAAACATCTCTCTCCATTAAACTAAGGCAATGAATAAAATATAATGTGACCAGGATTAACATAACTAGGCACAAAGGGTTGTAATTATCAACCAATATTTAAAAATGGTTCTTTGATATTTGAATTTACCTGTCCCAAGAAAGCTATTTAGGGATTTTAGTTAAATAAACTATTAAATATTTCTACAAAACACAACTGCTTCCTACTGGCTAGATACATGAGTCAAATAATTCACTTAGGAATAGGGCATTTCAATTTAGGAGGAGTGGCTATGTGTCAAGACAAATAGAGATGCTCTTCAGAAGACAGCTGGCCAGAAGTGCAGTCAAACTTGTCTTCCTGGCCCCTTGATCGTGTGTGTGTGTGTGTGGGGGGGGTGGTATCTTACTTAAAGTGTCTTATGGACATTTACAAAGTAAAACTCTATGAAATCTCTAACTGAATTTCACCTAGTTTTTTATCTGAGTGCTCTACACTAGTTCAAAGAACTACTAGAGGAAACTACAGATTTCAGGTGCCTTTCACAACAGAAAATAATGGTTTCTCAATGGCTCTGCACTGACAGCATGCAGAAAAATTAAATGGCTGGTGAAAACAAAAACTGTTTAGTAAGTCAGGTATATGAGAAGTATGTGTTTATAATAAATCTAAATTTTATCAGTTTAGTCTGCAATTAAAATGCAAAGCTGAATACAAAGAGCCTTTCTAGAATATTAGATAAGAATGCATAGATTTTTGTTTTTTGAAAGCACAGATTTGAAAGCAAGAGGTATTAAGACACTGCTTCCATTAGTTCTATAGAAGAATGCCTAAGGGAGTTTACCAAACAGCAATGTCACAGGTAAAGTGAAGTTCCTTTAGTTGCTGACAATATGCTTCCCCCAAAAATACAAAATTTCAATATTGTACTTCCTAAAGGTCTGGAGATAATGGTCCTGAGGGAGATGGAGCTAATTAATTAGAAATTTCAGTGACTTCAAAACAAAACAAAATAAAATTCTCCGTCAGTATTCTAGCTTTATATTAGATCCTTGGTATTTCCTCCCTCTTAGGCGGTGACTTTAACCTGTCCTGTCAGTCATTCCTCATAATTAGGAGGAGTTACTCAAATGCAGTGGGCATTACCTTTAAAGCCAAAATTATCATAAGAAATAGGCATGGTTTTCTCTTCAAGGCGGACCCTAGGGATAAGACGCTTTAGGACAAAGGCAAGAAGCTGCTGGAGCACAAAGAGATAGAGGGCAGTCTCAAAACAAAAGAAATAGGCATGGTGACAGAAAAAAATATGTACAGAGAAATTATTTTTAGCATTCAGTCAACAAGGCTACAGGCTAAATACATGGTCATGAAATAGATACTGAACAATACACCAATCAATGTATTACTGATAATCATTAAGAAAGTTAATGATTTAGCACCTCCATGAGAGAAGCATGTTTTGGCTATTTACTGTATTACACAGTAGGTAACACGAGGGACTGAAAAACCTGCACAATCTTCAGATTTATTACATGGGTAGCCTGGTAAAGGCCTTCAAGATGTCAGATAATGGGGGTGAGGTTGGGAGTTGTCCTTTTCAACCCACCTAACACTGATTCAATGAAGGACTGGTGCGCCAGGGGAAAAAGTATCTACCTAGGTTTCTTGGAGCAGATGTAGGGATGAAACAGGATTTAGAACAAGGTTAGGGAAAATTAGAGAGGCCCTGGAGGGCACTCCCTCCTCCCCACTTTCTAACTCTTTTTATTGCAAAACATAACACACATACAGCAAAGTACATAAAACAAAAATGCAGAGTTCAGTCAATCATCAAATGGCTAATACCACCCAGGTCAAGCTTGCCAAGCCCAGAAGTCTTTCTTGTGCCTCCCAGTCACTACTCTTCCTCCCAGAGGGAACTACTACCCTGGTTTTTATACTTCCTTCTCTGCTCTATTTGATATGTTTTCCACCCAAGCATGCATCCTAAAATACTAATATTTATTTTGCTTGTTTTTGAGCTTATTACATGCCTTGAATTACCAGGTTTTTTTTTTTTTTTTTTTTTTTTTTTTTTTTTTTTTTTTTTTTTTTTTTTTTTTTTTGCATCTGGCTTCTTTTGCCCAACATTGTGAGCAACATCCATGCTATTTATGTGGCTGTACATCACTCATTTTCCTGTCTTTTTCAAATTCCTTGATTCTTACTTATTTTGGGAGTAAGCAACCACAACATTTATTTATTTTTAATTCTGCAACCTTTAAAAACCACCTCATCTATCTACACTTTTTCCTTCAATCAGTTCAGAACACTTTTGCCAAAATCTGAACACTAAATTCATACCTTCCTTTCCTGAGAACTTCCCCTTAATTGTTATCATTCAGGACTTCAATCTCTTTGGTGCCTACACAATCTCTTGTATTTCTCTGTTTATCTTTCTGGCTGTTATTTCCTTGAGTTTGATAAATGTACCATGTTTTCCATGCCATCCCTTCAATCTGGAATGATGTCGTGCTCCATGATCAAGTGCTGGCCTTCCCTGCAGCAACAGCCATTTCTTTATGTTTTTTTCTGATTATGTGGAAGTGGAAGGCATTCTCTCCTCATCTATCCCTTTTTGGTATCCATGGCCCAGATGAGGCACTGAGGAAATACACCTGTGAGGATAATTTAGTGTAACACAGGAGACAGATTTAAGACAATGACTATTTAGCCATTTGGCTCCCTGAGCAGCGCCATGGTGGTAGGCAAGCAAAAAGGGAGCCGAGAGTGGCTGATCCATTTTCAAAGAAAGAGTGGTACGATGTAAAAGCACCGGCAATGTTTAATATAAGAAATATGAGAAAAACACTAGTCATGAGAACTCAAGGAACCAAAATCACATCTGATGGCCTCCAGGGTCCTGTGTTTGAAGTAAGCCTTGTTGATCAGCATGATGAAGTTGCATTTAAGAAATTCAAGCTAATTACTGAAGATGTTCAGGGCAAAAACTGCCTAATTTTCATGGCATGGATCTTACCCGGGACAAAATGTGCTCCATGGTCAAAAAATGGCAGACATGATTGAAGCTCACGGTGATGTCAAGACTACTGATGGGTATTTGCTTCGTCTTTTTTGTGTTGGTTTTACTAAAAAACGCAACGATCAGATTCAGAAGACCTCTTATACTCAGGACCAACAGGTCTGCCAAATTCGGAAAAAGATGGAAATCATGACCCTAGAGGTGCAGACAAATGACTTGAAAGAAGTGGGTCAATAAATTGACTCCAGACAGCATCGAAAAGATGTAGAGAAGACTTGCCAGTCTATTTATCCACTCCATGATGTCTTTGTTAGAAAATTAAAAATGCTGAAGAAGCCCAAGTTTGAATTGGGAAAGCTCACGGAGCTTCATGGTGAAGGTTGTAGTTCTGGAAAAGCTACTGGGGATGAGACTGGTGCTAAAGTTGAATGAACTGATGGATATGAGCCATCAGTCTGAGAATCTGTTTAAAATTCAGGCATTTAATGGTGATAAACAAAAAATCTTATTTGTGATGTTTAAAACAAAACAAAACAAAACAAAACAAAAATGATTATTTAAAGCATTTATTTAAAGCAGGTTATGATCTGACAGTTCATGGGTTCGAGCCCCATGTCGGGCTCTGTGCTGACAGCCCCGAGCCTGGAGCCTCTCTCTCTGCCCCTCCCCTACTTGTGTTCTTTCTCTCTCAAAAGTAAATAAACATTAAAATACATATATATCTAATAGAATATCTAAAAAATACACATCTAATAAAGTGCATGATAGGAACCCAGCATCAAACTCTTAACAAATCAAGTCTCTTTATTTATAATTCAGTTCAGATGCTGGTAATGAGAAATAGAAAACTGACATAACCAGATACCCTTTCACTGTACGGACTGAGGATTTATTTATTTGAGGATAAAATTATACTTAGACACACAGTATCAATTTCTCTTAGGTTTCTGTGATGGAATGTACAATGGATTTATAATCTAAGTACATCATTTGCATATATGCTATGTAACACAGGACTTATAAAGGAGTTTCAATTGTATAAGGTGATTTGGCTTAAAATGTTGATAGAAGAGAAGTGCTCTGTAATAATTTAACCTGAAAATTAGATATTGACACTGGGTTTTACCTGATTCCTAGTAAGTTGGTGGTATGGTCTTTTACCTCATATAAGGATCTGTGTCCTAAGAAAAGCCTCATTATGTTTCAGTGATTCTACTTACTAGATTTATAACGCCTACTTTACACTGCTAGGGACAACAAACACATTTAACTGGGTGAAAACTGGGCAAGTGTGATTTGGCTGATGGGGTAGTAACTAGAGAAACTGAAAGTGATCTCTTAACAAGTTAACTTCTAAAATTCTCCATCAGCATTCTAGTTTTATATTAGATCCTTAGTATTTCCACCCCCTTAGGTGGTGACTTTAATCTGTCCTGTCAGTCATGCTCATTTTCTCCCCTGTGCCTATTACATGCTCTTCCCACCCAGAATGCCTTCTTCTCCAGCAATCCAAGTTCACAGTTTCAAATTTCTTTTTTTTTTTTTATTTTTTTTTTAATGTTTTTTATTTATTTTTGAGACAGAGAGAGACAGAGCATGAACGGGGAAGGGGCAGAGAGAGAGGGAGCCACAGAATCGGAAGCAGGCTCCAGGCTCCAAGCCATCAGCCCAGAGCCCGACGCAGGGCTCGAACTCACGGACCATGAGATCGTGACCTGAGCCGAAGTCGGACGCTTAACCGACTAAGCCACCCAGGCGCCCCTAGAGTTTCAAATTTCAAGTCACACTCACCTTGTCTGGGAGGAAGTCCCTTATTAAATTGGCCCTCTGTGGCTCACCCTGACTTGCCTCTTTACTCTCTTTGTACATGGATGTCAAAATCACTTCATCTCTAGTGTGTATTCTGATCTACTGATAGTAAATGCTGATTCAGAAGTATTCTAAGGCTATGGTAAGGGTCTGTGAGAGGAAGTACCTGCTCTAGGGACAGGAAGTGGTATTTGCTATCTCCGTCTCAGTACTTTATTAACACTTGAGAAAGTACTTTGGCCACAATGCCTATGTGACAGCTTGGGTGTAATCTCTTGTACTTCTGCAGCTTTCAAAATATGTAACAGAATATCCAGGGGCACCTCGGTGGCTCAGTTGGTAAAGGATCCAACTTTAGCTCAGGTTATGATCTCACAGTTCATGGGTTCGAGCCCCGCGTCGGGCTCTGTGCTGACAGCCCAGAGCCTGGAGCCTCCTTTGGATTCTGTCTCCCTCTCTCTCTGCCCCTCCCCTACTTGTGTTCTTTCTTTCTCTCTCAAAAGTAAATAAACATTAAAAAGTGTGTGTGTATATATGTGTATATATATATATAATAGAATATCTAAAAAATACACATCTAATAAAGTGCATGATAGGAACCCAGCATCAAGCTCTTAACAAATCAAGTCTATTTATAATTCAGTTCTCTTTATAATAAACGTCACCAATTTTATATAACTCTACTGAGGCACAACTTATATATATTCATCCATCTTCACTGTACAGTACTTGCCACATAACTACAAATCTACTTTCTGTCTCTCCATATTTGCCTTTTTGGAAATTTCATACACGTGGACTCACACAATACGCAGCCTTTCCTGTACGGCTCCTTTCATAATGTCTCGAAGTGCATCCACGTCATGGCATCTACCAGCACCTCATTCTTGTTAACCCTCAACAGTATTCCTTCGTGTGGATACTTTCTCCACCCACTACTTTATTGATCTTTGAGCTGTTTCTACTTTTTGGCCACAATAAACAATGCTGCTAAACATTTGCCATATAGCACACTTGTATTTTTTATAAAGCAAGCTTTATTATCAGGTTGCCACAATACTTAGCTTTACAAGTACTTCAGAAGTAACTATCTTCAAGAACCACTGAGTGAATTTATGATCAACACATACAAAACTATCAGCCCCACCAAAGGATTTAAATGAAGTCTGAAGCAGGCGGATACCTATTTTCCTACTTATTTTTAAGAAAATAAAGAATCTCAGCAGTAAGCTTTCAGGCATGAGTTAAAAGCAGTACACAAAGTACACAAGAAATCTGTAGTTCAGATTCAGAATGTAAGCATTTTTACAAATTCTACCATACAGATTAGATTTTATTATTACACCAAACAAATCCTTAACCCCAGTAAATTAACTTGGGTTACAGAAACAATCAAATGAAGCCCAGTGCATGTATGAAAGTTAATTGACATAAAAGGCCTTACTATTATTGGTGCTGTTGCCATTGAAAGACCCAGTAGAACTGCTATTGTCTTTCTCCTTATCTTGATTTTCAAAGTCCATATTAAGGGACCTGTGGAAAAATGTATAGGCAAGTTTTAATTTTGCTTAAGAAATGAGGTCAGAAAAGTCTGTTATGAGATAATATTTTAACATGGAAGGCATCAGGGAAGATAGGAAGGTCTCTTTTGAACAACTCTGCAAAACAGTTCTTGTTGGTACATTTTGGAAAAACCATCTACATCCCTTCCAATATGTCAGTTCAAGAATTCTCCTGACTGAAGATTAAAAGCATTCCACGTGGCTGATCTTCCAGACACATCTCCGTGCACATCCTTAATTACCTACTTATGATAAATACCTAGAAAGAGAAATGTTGGGTCAAAGGGCAAGCACAATTTTGAGACTTTAACATACTACACAACTGCTTCCAACAAAGTTATACCAATTTGCTCTCTGTAGCAGTGTATGAAAGCATCTTCTCTATACCCTGTCAGCTTTCGTTTAACAACAGCTTACACTTGAATTTCTGCTATATATAGGACTGCTCTAGGCAGTGGAGGGATGATAAATAGTGCATTAGACAAGTTTTCATGGATTGTACGTTCACAGAGGGGGGATGCCAACAATAAACAAGTAAGTTAAATGCGTATTAATGGTAACAGCTAATGAGAAAATGCAGGAAATGAAAAGACTAGATTTGAAATTTTAAATAGGGTGGGCTGGGGAGTCAACACTGGCATGATTTCCATGTCAAGACATGAAGGAAGCGGTCATTGTCCAGCTGGGGAATGAACAATGCAATCTCTTAAGTTAGCGTTCTTTAACTACTAAACAATTTTGTGTATGTGAGCTCACTCGTTTTTTCCTTTTTTGTAAACTATTTAAGTCCTTAGCTCATCTTCAACTACTATGTTACTCTAAGGTGTTTGTGCCCTAAAGAACTTCCTGCAATGATGGAAATGTTCTGTATCTGAACTGGGTAGACATTAGCCACATGAGCACTGAATACGTGGGAGTGCAACAGGAACTGAATTCTACATTTAATTTTAAGTAATTTAAATTATTTGGGGGCTAAAACTATAAAATTCTTAGGTGAAACATAAGAATAAATCTTTGTAATCTTGGATTGGGAAGTAGATTCTTACACATGATGCCAAAGATACAAGCAAAAAATTGATAAATTGGACTTCATCAAAATTTAAAACTTGTGCTTCAAAGGACACTATCAAAAAAGTCTCTAACCCAAAGGATGGGAGAAAATATCTGCTCTTATACGTCTGTTAAGGGCCTTGTATTTATTTTTTTTTTTCAACGTTTATTTTTTTGGGACAGAGAGAGACAGAGCATAAACGGGGGAGGGGCAGAGAGAGAGAGGGAGACACAGAATCGGAAACAGGCTCCAGGCTCTAAGCCATCAGCCCAGAGCCCGACACGGGGCTCGAACTCCCGGACCACAAGATCGTGACCTGGCTGAAGTCGGACGCTTAACCGACTGCGCCACCCAGGCGCCTCAGGGCCTTGTATTTAGAACACATAAAGAACTCCTACAATTCAATAATAAAAAGACAACCCAATTAAACAATAAACAAAGGATCTGAATAAATACTTGTCCAAAGAAGCTATGCAAATGGCCAATAAGCACATGAAAAGACTTTTCACATCATTAGTCATCAGGGAAATACAAATCAAAGCAAAATGAGATACCACTTCATACCCATGATGATGGCTATAAGCAGAAAGTCAGATAGATAATAACCAAGTGTCAGCAAAGACATCACTGGTGGGAATGGAAATTGGTGCAGATACTTTGGAAGCCAGTCTGACAATTTTCAATTTCTTTAATAAATATGAGGCTATTCAGGTTATCGATTTCTTCTTAAGTGAGCTTTAGCAGAGTGTGTCTTTCAAAGAATTGGTCCATTTCATTTAAGTTGTCAGATTTACTGGCATTAAGTTGTTGATAGTAGGCCCTTATTATCTTTGCAATACCTGTAGGTTCTAGTAACATCACTTCTCTCGTTCCTGATACTGGTTTTAGGTTCTCTCTTTTTCCTGATTAGTCTGACTAGGGTTAAAAAAAAATTTTTTTTTTAAGTTTATTTATTTTGAGAGAGACAGAGACAGCATGAATAAGGGAGGGGTAGAGAGAGAGAGAGAGAGAGAGAGAGAGAGAGAGAGAGAGAGAGAATGCCAAGCAGGCTCCACACCATTAGTACAGAGCCCAATGCGGGGCTTGAACTCATGAAACTGTGAGGTCATGACCTGAGCCAAAAACCAAGAGTTAGATGCTTAACCGACTGAGCCACTCAGGTGCCCCATAGCCTGGCTAGAGATTTACCAACTTCTATTGGTCTTTAAAAATTAGCTTTTGGTTTCACTGATTTTTCTCTACCCCTAGAGAAGATAATTCACTTATTTTGGCTTTGATCTTCACTCTTACCTTTTGTCCATTTACTAAATTGGTTTCAATTTGCACCCCCCCTCACCCCACCTAGTTTATTAAGTTTAAAGTTTAGATCATTGACACCTTTTTCTTCTATTCTAATCCAGGCATTTAGAACTGTAATCCCTCCTCTGAGTACTGCTTTTGCAAAATTCCATAAATTTAGTGTTTTTCACTTTCTTTTCATGCACAGTATTTTCTGTTTTGCTACATGACTTCTTTTTTGATGCATGGAAGTGTTATTTTTGTTTTAAAGTATCTGGGAATTTTCTAGACATCTTTCTGCTATTGATTTCTAATCTGATTCAACTGTGATCTGTTAGGGACTGAATGTGTCATTCTCTAACCCCCAAAAGTTCATTTGTTGAAGCCCTAACACCTAGTATGATGGTATTTGGCGACTGGGTCTTTGGGATGTAATTCTGTTGAGGTCATGAGGGTGGGGCCCTCATGACAGAATTAGTATCCTTCTTAGAAGAAATACCAGAGACCCTGCTGAGTGGGCACACACTGAGGAAAGACCATGTGACCACACAGCAAGAAGGGGTCTTTCTGCAAGCCAGGAAGAGTGCTCACCAAAACCCAATCCTGCTGGCACCCTGACCTTGTATTTCCAGCCTCCAGAACTGTAAAAAAAAATAATTTTCTGTTGTTTAAGCTACCCAGCCTGTAGTATTTTGTTATGGCAGCCCCCCACTAATTAACAGAGATCAGAGATCATAATTTGTATGCTTAGTATCCACTTACTGAGACTTATTTTATGTCCCCAGATATGTTCTAAACTGGTAAATGTTCCATGGGCACCTGAGAAGAATGCATATTTTCCGGTTGAAGGGAGTGTTCTATGAATGCCAATTAGGTGAAGTTGGTGGAGAATACTATTCAAGCCTATCCTTACTGATTTCCTGACAACTTGTTTTATCGAATACTGAGAGGTACTGAAATCTTCAGCTACACTTGTGGATGTCTTAACATTTATTTTGGGGACAGCACAAGTGGGGGAGGAGCAGACGATCCAAAGTGGGCTCTGCGCTGACAGGCTGACAGAAGGGCACCCAATGTGGGGGGCTGAATTCACAAACCGCGAGATCACAACCTAAGCCAAAGTCGGACACTCAACCGAGTGAGCCACTCAGGCACCCGTTTTATTTCTCCTTGAAGTTCTATCAATTTTTGCTTCATGTATTTTGAGGATCTTTTATGAGATGCATAAACATTTAGGATTATTACGTCTTGTTGTTTAATTGACCCCTTTATCATTATGAAATAGCCTTGTCTGTAAATATTCCTTGCTCTGAAAGCAGCTTTTGTCTGGTATTAATATAGTTATTCTAGCTTTCTTTTGATGATTATAAGGTATATCCTTCCCCAACCTTTTACTTTAAATCTTTTTCTGGCTTCATATCTGCTTCTTGTAAGCACCATGTAATTGGATCATGCATTTTAATTCAATCTGATAATTGTTGCCTTCTGATTGTAGTGTTTAGGCCAATTTCATTTTACGTGATTATTGTTATGATTAGATTTGAGACTATCATGTTGCTATTTGTATTTTTTGCTGTTCTCCTTTATCTAACTTCTTTTGGATTAATACAGTATTTTTAATGATTCTGTTTTATCGCTTTTGTTGTCTTATTATCTGTACTCGTTCTTTTATTTTAGTGGTTGCTATAACATTTATATTAAACATCTTTAACCAATACAGTGTACCTTCAAGTTATATTATGGTACTTTACGTACAGTATAAAAACCTGACAACAGTTCACATTTGTTACTCAATCTTTGTACTATTACCATGCGTTTTACTTTTACATGTTATGCTACAAATTCCACAATATATTAATTTTGTTTATATAGTCAATTATATTCTAAAAAGTTTTAAATAATAAGAAAAAATTATTTTATACTTATCAATGTTGTTACCACTTCTGGTGATCTTTATTCCTTTTGTGTAAGTCCAGACTTTCAGCTGGTACAATTTTTAATGTGTTAGAAGTACTTCCTTTCACACTTCTTATAATGGAAAGTGGTTGGTGATAAATGTTTCAGGTTTTGGGTATCCAAAAACAGCTTTATTTTGCCTTAATTTTTGAAAGATACTTTTGCCAACAAAATTTGTCAACACAGAATTTTATGTTGATGGTTTTTCCTTTCTGTACTTTAAAGCTGTTGTTCCACGGTCTTCTCATTTATATTATTCTCAGTGAGAAATCCAGTATTCACCCTTATTTTTGTTCCTCTTTGTGTAATGTGTTCTTCTGCCTACTCCCACCCCGCCCCCCCATCCACCTCTGGCTCCTTTGGATTTTCTCTTTTATGACTGGTTTTGAGTGACTTGATTATGATGGGCCTTGGAGTAGTTTTCTTCATGTTTCCTGTACTATGGGTTTATTAAGCTCCTTAGAGCAGTGGGTTATAGTTTATTTCAAGTTTGGAAAAATTTTGGCCACTAATTCTTCAAGTATTTTTTTTTTTAATGTTTGTTTGTTTATTTAACATTTATTTATTTTTGAGACAGAGAGAGACAGAGCATGAACGGGGGAGGGACAGAGAGAGAGGGAGACACAGAATCGGAAGCAGGCTCCAGGCTCTGAGCCATCAGCCCAGAGCCGGACGCGGGGCTCGAA